CTGCTCCCCTGCTGTTTCCTCACACAAACACACACACACACACACACACACACACACACACACACACACACACACACACACACACACACACACATAGATTTCCTTCCCCCATCTTTTTCCATTTTCAAACATTTTCGAAAAAGCTTCGGGAGCCACTAGGGCGGCACTAAAGAGCCGCATGCGGCTCTGGAGCCGCGGGTTACCGACCCCCACTCTAGAGAAAGGGTACCCACTTTTTTTAAGCATGCAAGCCACTTATATAATGACCAAGTACAAATGATCTAGCTACCTTTATTTATTTATGTATTTATTATTCACATAATTTTTTTATTTAAAAATATACTTTGACTTCTTTACAGCTACAATAAATAAGCGCGACTAAGTCCAACTAGCGTGACACAACTGTCAGTCAGTCGTCCTAGTCTCGTGTCATCAGGCGGCAGCTGCGACACGCCCTCGGAGGGCTGCCGGCCTTGTGCTGGTGTTTGGGTGGACGGTTCCTCCGTCCTGCGAGTTGTTCTCCGGCGGAACGCCGGCTTCCACCTGGACCTCCCGCTGTGCAGCGAGCCTGAGATACCACGCCATGGAGCCGAACACAAAATATACAAATAAAATGAGTCCTCCTCTTGCTCTGTATTGAATTGATTGCTTTTGATGTTACCTGTGATGTCATTTTGAGTTGACAACAAGTGGCAAAATGGCCACCCGCTGAGATGGACAAAAACGGGTGGATTTTGCTGCTCAACTCATATTCCACAAACACAATATTAATCAGAATGTGTTTTTAGACTAGCGGCGCTGCATAGAACTTATTATGATAACAAACATTTTAGGGTTGACTTCCCCTTTATAAAGGCCACTGAAGATAACACTGTCATCCTCTAGTTTAAAAAAGGCTGGCAATATTTAGGTGAGGAGGTACTAGTCCGAGATCAATGACCTTACCAGCCACCGCTTTTCTGGGAATCATTTTGCTGACGACCAGATTTTAGTCTGAGGGGAGCAGCGGGAGAGTGTGAAATGAGGCTGGATAATCAGGAAAAGCAGGCTGTATCCCCAAAGGGATGGAGCAAAGAGCTCCAGACATGCTGCTATTGGCACCATCCTTCTGTCTCTATCTCTTTAAGAGCAGAGGGAAGGAGCGTGTATGTGTGCGTGTGGGGGAGGGGTATCGGCTGGGGTGGAACAGTCCTGGAATGAGTAGATACAAGAGAGACGAGAGCTAGATGGAGGAAAATAGCGAGAGGCCAAAAATCAAGAGAGGGCCAGATGACCTGGTGGAATTGAGGGATACAACAACATTTCTGGCTTAAGGGGGACGCTGGGATGGAGAGGACAATGGAGCGGAATATTTCTTTTCTGCATCTCTTGACACCCTAAGGAGAGAGCCTCCTGTGCAGAGTGGAGACGGGAAGGAAACAGGAGATAATCACACTCCACTTCGCTTTGGCCTCTCTGCTGTAACGATTCAAAGACTCGGTCTGTAGCCTGAAATGTTTGTTTTCTGGTCCATGCTTGAAAGAAATCGCTTCAACTTTCTGCTTTCTTACAATTTTTCTGAATGACGTACCAGCGCGGTTGGATCTCAGCTTCATGTCTCCATGTCTGCCGGTGCAGGAGGGATGGTGGGATGCTCTAATGGCTAACTGAGCCGAGCTCCATTGCTGCTGCTGCTGCTGCTGCTGTCGTTAGTCTGTAGGCCCGCGGGACTGGTGGAAAAGCCTCGCCCTCGCTTGTCTGGAGCGCCTCGCCGCACGACTGAGGCGATGGGCCGGTGAGCTCCCCAACTGCGCCATGGGTGGAGGAGGCATCGGATGATGAGGATGAGGAGCACCGTTAGCCTGCTTGCCCATGGGAACGAGCATGTACAACGACCGTTTTCATCATTCCAGCCCCATCAGTGAAGCTTTGATTTCTTCTGCATCATAGATGATGTGCGTAAGGCCTTCCTGTCATTCCTAACGGGAAACTGGATTTCACATTTGGAGGGAAGGAGGTAAGGGGCCTGTGCCTCCCTACTACTTGATCCGAGCAAGGCCTCCTCCCGACTAGCTGCTTCTGAGTAAACCAGGCCCTTGCGTTTCTTTTTCCTGACATTCTAAGGATTTGCCTAAACCTGTTTCATGCATGTCCACTGGAGGCAGGTTTGACTTTGATGATGGGGGGTCGTACTGTGGGGGGTGGGAGCAGGGAAAAGCCCACGGTAGAGGGGTCTGTACGGGGCCACAGGGTCAGGGTGAGTACGCAGGGGCATGGAGTCATGGCTTTGAGGTCCTGGGTGTGTACACGTGGCCCAGTGGGAACAACTATCAGGGCACCTGGGCGCAAGGCAAGCGGCATGGAATTGGAGTGGAGAGCAAGGGCCGCTGGGATTATCGAGGGGAGTGGACGCAAGGGTTTAAAGGTCGCTACGGACAGCTGGAGAGCACAGCTAGTGGCGCCCGCTACGAGGGAACGTGGAGCAACGGCCTCCAGGATGGATACGGAACTGAAACCTATTCTGATGGAGGTAAAACTGATTCAGTCTCGTCGTCATTCTGATTTCGTCTCTCTGAAACCTCTACTGCCGCAAACTACCAATTGATGATTTAAAAATGGATTTTCAGGCGGCAAGTTGAACATGTTGAGCATGGTGTAGCGCTGAGCACATCGTTCGCACAGTTCTTAGGTTTGGGCTTTAAATTGTCCCTCCGGCCTACCCATGCGTATTTGTGTGTTCTCCCCATGTTTGCTTGGGTGTTCTTCGGTACACTACAAACATGCATGATAAAATACTTAAAGACTATACATTGTGTGGATGCAAACCTTTGTTTGTCTAGATGTGCCCAATGATTAACTGCTGACTCTCGCCCAAACTTGACTGGGCTGGGCTCCAGCTCATGTGCAATATCGAGAATGGGTGGATGGAAATGGTACCAGTTGCTGAGCCTGGTGTAAAGTGCACGACTTCTCCAGTGCGGTAACATAAACATAATGCGGGTCACATTCACAACAGACATCCGGGGGGTTGTGTCTGTATCATTAATTTTAAAACTGATTAAAAAAAAGACAGTCAACACACTCCATATGTGCTCAGCATTACACCCTCTGTGCTGTGAAGTCGCCATGGTGACGCCAAGACAACAGGTCAGAATGTCACTAGAGAACATAGTGTGGCTCTTATACATACGTCTAATTGGCTGTTTGGCGCCCACCCTGCCATCAGTCGTTTCCCTGCTTACTTATAACTTGAGCCCCTAAATGTGTGATGCAGCCCAGGCCAAGCAAAGGAGAATGTTGGAGTTCAGTAAGTGATGGAGACGGAGGGAACACAGCCTTGTGCATTACAAAGAAGGTGTTGTTAAGTTACTGTTACGAAAAGCTCTAACACTGGAAATATAAACTAGACGCTGAATGCAAGGGGGCAGAAAAAAAAAAACACTGCGTCACATAACACGCCTGCCCTGGTCTTCCGCTCACGTGGAGGACCGCCGACAGAGGAATTCAGCATGCATGAGCTGACACATTTTCTCCAAGCCAGTAAATCCAGGCACATAACACACAGGAGAGCCAAAACGGACATAAATTGGAAGCCTCCTGGGCCCACACAGCACAAGCTTGCTTGCTTTCAGAACCACAGACAGCTCCTGGTCATATTGCGGACAATTTAGCCAATTACCCCAGATGGTAGACACTAACAAATACATTGGCAAGGAGCTTTATGGACTGAAATTACACATTCGTAGCGTCTTTGCATACTTTCCTATATATTTTCCATGTGTGTTTGCACTGCTGGGAAAAATACCAATTTTAGACAGTCATTAATCAAACAGTATTCTAATCATTGCATGCTTGCACTGAACTGCAATGCCCTGCATCATACTCTATTTATAATTTTACTCCTCTCATGTAGCTGAAATAACTGAAAAACCAAAACACTGTCCTGGAAACTGCCCTCACTACTTTTACACCATGGCCAATTACAACCACAAGTGTGGGTGAAGCCGTTAAAGCAGCTTTATCTGAACTATGCAATATTCATTTAGTGAACAAATGCAACTGACAGCAATACATTAATAGTGTTTTTGTGGGGTGTTTTTTTTTTTAATTGCGCGGGGTGTGGGGGGGGGGGCAAGTCTTTACAACTGATTTTGTCAAGAGTCACTGTCTGTCTATCCAACAAGTGGTACGTGGTATGGAGCATTCCCTCCACTTGTAGTCGTTCCAAAAAATGTGTCCATTAGTTCTAAATACCTTAAAATATTTGACAGACAGAGTATTCATTATGTGACATAATGATTACAATGGTTCCTTAACTACTGGCTTTAGTTCATGGAGTGCCACAATTTATTAAGTGGGTGCGCTGTGCACTTGATAAATTGGATGCAGCCCCTCAAAAGGACACCTTCGCAAAAAAATGTTACACTAACTGCAATGACAAAAAATTGCCCCCTTCATAATTCACTGTATGGCATTTGCAAATTTTACACTTGAATAATGCAGATGATCACACCCATTTTGACATCCGATCCAATTAAATCCTTTTTTTAAGCAACAGAATTCATTGTTCCATTAATCATCCAGATTATGAATGAGCATAGCAGCCCCATTCCATTACACTGCCGTCACTACATTTGATGTTTTTTAATCATATGTGTTATTTTGATGCTCAATATCATAAGATGCACACCTAATAATTTCAATTTTTTTCACTTCAGTTCACAGAATGCTTCATCAAAAGTCTTTAGGAATCAGTTTCATTTTTTGTGGGGGGCTAAATGTGAGGTGAGTGTTTTGGGGTGTTTTGTCGGCAGTGCTTTTTTTCATCTTCCTTATGGTTAATTAAGGAACACTTACCTTGACTGTGGCCAAAAAGTAGTGCGGTTCTTTGGATGTCATTTGCGCTTCTTGAGTGGACTCCTTGCAACGTCATTGGTGGATTTTTGGAGTAATTTTGGTTGGCTGATCACTCCTGTGAAAATGATAACAATAATAATAATCATCATCATCATCACCAATCGAATTTGTGTAGCACTTAGGAATTATTATTAGGAATATTGAGTGTGACTATGACTTTGAAAAACTCTTAGATTGATAGATTTCGATCATTTTGTTTCTCATTTGTTCTTGAATTCCTTTGGATCAAGGCATGCTTCTTTTTGCGCTCCAAAATGGTTTGACAGCAACAATTCTTTTGAGGAAAGTACAGTAACCATTATTGAAGTGCTGTTTTTAATTTATATCCTCCGATGATCATTGCATTCTTAAAATATACTTTTCGGCATTATTTCCTGTTTGTGTGGCCTAATTGGGAATTAATGCAAGATATAATGTAATTGGGACACGTTCTGTGTCCCAATTACACACTACATACTAATTATGCACAGATCTAACCGAATAGCCTTCCTCTGAGAAAACAAGACCACAGGCCCTCCTTTTCTTCCATCTCTCGCTCTGGATTCAATACAACATGTTCGCTTTTAGTGCCCCTTTACTGCAGTACTTTGTCAATTTAACAGGCACACAGCAGCTACATTATGAGCCGAGTCAGTGGCATAGTTAGGCCTATTTTTAGGGGGCCGAATGCTCCCTAGAATGTTCTTAACTGATTTTTTTCATTTTTTTCCACAGAAACCTTGAATAATCTTCAATACAATGTATTCAGAAAATGAAATTAAATAAATACTCACCTTACCCATCTTTACGCATGTAAATATGATGAAAAGAGCAGTCCATGTTTTCACTGCGACCATGCTTGCAGTGGTACGTGCCTCTGATTATGTCAGGGTAAAAAGGAGGGCCAAGTCTGCTGACTAAAAGCTGCATGAGGAAAAAAAAGTGTAAAAGATGGGCTGCATTTGATTACTTGTATAATGATCATAAATCAATTGATTTCATTCACTTAATACTGTTAGGTAAAGAGAGCCCTTGTCATCGTTCACTCTCCAATTTCAATCCGGTCCACTTGATCAACTACATTACTGTACTGATTATCCAGTCCACGTTTTCCATTCGACCATGTTTGCTCCTGCATCCAGGGGACTGTACATTTTGGGGTAAAGAGCCTTCCGAGTCCATCCATCCATCTATTTTCTAATCCGTTTATCTTCATGAGGGTCGCAGGCGTACTGGAGCCAATTCCAGTTGTCTTCAGACAGTAAGCGATAGCCAATCGCAGGGCACACATAGACGAACAACCATTCGCACTCATACTGACACCTAGGGACAATTTGGAGTGCCCAATCAACCTGCCTGCCTTTTGGAATGTGAGAGGAAACTGGAGAACCCGGAGAAAACCCACGTAGGCAAGGGGGTGAACACGGAAACTCCACACAGGAAGGCCGGAGCCGTAACCGAAATCTGCACCTCTGCACAGTGAAGGACATGCTAACTAGTCGAGCACCGCATCGCCGATCAAAGAGTCGTGGATAAAAAAAAAAAAAAAAACGTTTTTAAAGAAAGTATTCATCACTGACGGTAGAAACAATTAATTAGTTGCGAGCCCGGCCCAGCTAACAGCAGAAAGTCCCATGCTATTAATATCCATTCAGCCATTATCCAAGCCATTTATCCTCACGAGGGTTGCAGGCGTGCTGGAGCCGATCCCAGCTGTCTTTGCGCATCCCTGAACTGATTGCCAGTCACTCGCAGGTCTCACATAGACAAACAACCATCCGCGCTCACATTCAAACCTAGCGACAATTTAGAGTCTTCCATTGACCTGCCATGCACGTTTTTGGATATGTGGGAGGAAACCGGGGTACCCTGAAAAAAACCCACGCAGGCACAGGGAGAACCTGCAAACTCCACTCAGGAAAGCCGGAGCCGGAATCGAACCCTGCACCTCGGCACTGTGAGGGGGACATGCTAACCAGTCATGCAATTAACTAAATTAGTCTGCAATGCGTGCAAAGCTCCAAAAGATGAGCCGAGGTTTTAGAGTGAACTTGATTGAATTCATGCTATAGTTGAGCTAATTCACTGATGGTTGACATCAGTGGATAATAATAATATTATTAACAATAATCATCAACATCATCGTTATCACAATAATAGCATAGTAGAGTTAACATTCTAAATTGTCCTTAGGGTGTGAATGGTTGTTCATCTCTATGTGCCCTGCGAATGGCTGGTGACCGGTTCAGGCTGTACCCCACATACTGCCCAAAGACACCTGGGATAGGCTCCAGCACCCCCGCAACCCTCGTGAGGTTAAATGGATTAGAAAATGGATGGATGGAATAATAATTTCTATAACTTTCTTTCTATAACTCGGTGGTGGCTTCGGCCATCCATTATGGCATTGTCTGCTGGTCAGGCAGCATCTCGGCCCGGGACAGATAGAGACTGGAGCGACTGGTCAGGAGGGCCAGTTCTCTCCTGGGCTGCTCCCTAGACACTCTGGAGGAGGTGGGCAACAGGAGGATGCTAGCTAAGCTAAAAGCTATGATGGACAGTCCCTCCCACCCCCTCCAGCCAGCCCTGACAGCACTGGGTAGCTCCTTCAGCCAGAGACTGTTACACCCGCGCTGCAAGAAGGATGTAATGTGATGTGAAAAACAATTGTAAATAGTACGGCCACCTTATCTATATCTATATTAAATTGCACTGAATTGAACGGTGTCCATTGAAACTGTAACATTTATTTTGTGGATTTGTGAATGCATACGCTTTGTTTTTCTTCTTTCTTCTTTCTACCCACAATCTTGCTGCTGTAGACTGTAAATTTCCCCAGTGTGGGACAAATAAAGGATATCTTATCTTATCTTATAATCATCATCATAATCATCATCATCATCATCATAATAATAGTTATAACCGACAAATGATAATTCCTCCACCCATGTGGAATAGTACGCAGGATCTATGAGTAGAGACAACATCAAGGGAGCGGCATCTGGACAGAGGTGTAAAATTCAGGTCCACAAAGCAAGAACCGTGCCTCGGTTTGGCTTTAGCATGTTACCTGCCGGTTGAGTAGAAGCACCTGAAGCCAAAGCCAAACAATGGCGGGGCTATTACTTTCTGGACTGGCATCTGACATGTTTGCAGCTGCAAACATGTCTGATGGCACTGGTATCAAACTCGCGGTCCGCGGGCCAAATGTGGCCTACAGGACGCTAGTTTGAACTCCCCCGCCTTGATATGAAAGTTCAATGTTAGTGCGGCCCACGCGAGTTTAATATGGATGCTGTATGTGTTAGCACTACCTCCGTGCTAAATAGTTAGGTCTGTCTTATTTGAAGGCCAACAGCTTCGGAGCACCCGGACTATAGCGACAACGTGACCGTGCCCACGGTGCCCCATACCAGCTTGAATACAAGTGTAAACCACGAATGTAAACAACCCACCGCTGCTGCTTTCACGAGTGCTGCTGAATACACATTTAAACAGATAAACAATACGCCAGTGTGGCTGTCACCTATCATCTGGTGCTCCGAAGCACCAGACCTGACGTTATACATGCACACGAATGGGGAAAATGAGTGCGAAGATGCGAACACGAAGCTAGCACTATAACATACACACAAGTGAAGTTTTACGTGTATGTGTCCATGTTAGCTCCATGCTAGCCACTAGACGATCTTTTGAAACGTTATTACATTTTTTTATTTGTTTAATTTAAAACTAAGCAGCCACCACAAACACTTTGTGTTTCCATGGTGTCTGGCGCCTCGACGTCATATTCAGGCACAGGACCCTGAGCGGAAATTACATTCTTTATTTATTTATTTTGTTCATTTTATTTTGTGTAGAAAAATAAAAATGAACATATTTGAGAACAGTGGAATGTTTTATCACAGCTTTTCTCGTGGAAAACCAGAACCAAAGCACTGAAAAGGTGTAGGGGAAAGCAAAAACAAAAGCCTTGAAGAATATACACATATATATATATATATATATATATATATATATATATATATATACACACACACACAACGAAAATGATTACTTTGTCAAATTTACAAAAGGATATTTTTCATGCTTTACTTAATGTATTTTGTCTAATTACTTTACTGGTGACTTCAAAATATTTCATTTGGAATTTTCTGAAATTACTTCACAGTGGGCCTTTGAATGTAAATGTTTTATACAGCCCATTTGTAAGTGATATTGTCTGCCAACGGCGTACCCAAATATGGTTTTACCACTGAGCTGCATCGATGGATGGTGTTATTAATTTATGAAATGTCTCTGAAATTGTTCCACAAATTGACACTAAGTGTTGACCAATCGGTGATCCTGTTCCATGGCATCATGACAGTTATGAAGTCATAAAAGATAGCAATACTTGTCTGACTTCTGATTCATGTCTCTGCCTGGGCCAGGAACCTACCAGGGCCAGTGGCTGGCTGGGATGCGTCATGGCTACGGTGTGCGGCAGAGTGTGCCATACGGCATGGCGGCCGTCATCCTTTTCCCTCTGCGAACGTCCATAAACTCCCTCCGTTCTGAGCACAGTCACGGCCCCCCAGCTGTGCTTGAGGACGGCGTGGCCAATACGCCCACGGACGGGGTAGCGGCTGGGCTGGCTGGCAGCCCTGTGGGCCGAGGAGGGTTTGCTCTAACTGCCCCAAGTGAAGCCGAGCGCCAGAGAAAGAGGAAAGGTCGCTTCCGACAATCCATCCTAAGCGGCCTGAAACTACGACGCTCGGAATCCAAAAGCTCCCTTGCCAGTCAGCTGAGTAAGCAAAGTTCCTTCTGCAGCGAGGCCGGTATGAGTACGGTTAGCTCGGCTGCGTCCGACATCCACTCCAATGCCAGTGAGAATGAACAGGGTACTCCTGTGGATGCAACTGTCACAGAAATGTATGCAGGTGAGTGGCGGAGCGACCACAGGGCTGGCTGGGGGGTGGGTCGACGCTCGGATGGCCTTCACTACGCAGGTGAATGGGCAGGGAACAAAAGACATGGGTACGGATGCACTACCTTTCCTGATGGCACCAAGGAGGAGGGAAAGTACAAACAGAACATGTTGGTGAGCGGCAAGCGCAAGAACCTGATTCCGCTGAGGGCCAGTAAAATCCGAGAGAAGGTGGACCGAGCTGTTGAAGCTGCAGAAAAGGCTGCGGAAATTGCCAAGCAGAAAGCTGAGATTGCCATGTCAAGGTAATAAAACATTTACTGTATTTACAGCCATGTCAAAAATCAAAAGATCACCCTCGTTTCTTCAGTTTCCCATTCATTTTAAATACCTGGTAAAACTCAAGGTATGTTTGGACCAATATATTAATGACAACAAAAACAGCTTCTAAGAGTTGAAATGAAGTGATATTTCCTGAAGGTTGTCTTGATGAGAACCTAAAATCACTTACTCAATTTCTTGAATAAATGCCAGAAATGGTGCTTTAGGCAGTCCATGTTTTGCTTTGTGTCAGATTGTTGCTTGTTACACTTTTAGTGGCACCAGACATTAATATGAACAAGCTGACCTCGACTCGGGATGTTGTGAGTCGGTGGGCAGGGTATTTCGAAGACCTCCTCAACTCCACCACCACGCCTTCCTTGGAGGAAGCAGAGTCTGAGGACTCTGAGGAGGGCTCTCCTATCTCTGTGGTTGAAGTCACCGATGTGGTCAAAAAGCTCCTCGGTGGCAAGGCTCCAGGGGTGGATGAGATTTCCTCAAGGCTCTGGATGTTGTGGGGCTGTCCTGGTTGACACGCCTCTGCAACATCGCGTGGTCATCCGGGAGAGTGCCTCTGGATTGGCAGACCGCGATGGTGGTCCGTCTTTTTAAAAAGGTGGACCGGAGGGTGTGCTCCAACTACAGAGGGATCACACTCCTCAGCCTCCCTGGTAAGGTCTATTCAGGGGTGCTGGAGAGGAGGGTCCGTCGGGAAGTCGAGCCTCAGATTGAGGAGGAGCAGTGTGGTTTTCGTCCCGGCCGTGGAACAGTGGACCAGCTCTACACCATTAGCAGTGTCCTCGAGGGTACATGGGAACTCGCCCAACCAGTCTACATGTGTTGTGTGGACTTGGAGAAGGCGTTTGACCGTGTCCCTCGGGGAGTTCTGTGGGGGGTGCTTCGTGGGTATGGAGTACCGAACCCCCTGATACGGGCTGTTCGGTCACTATACCACCGATGTCAGAGTTTGGTTCGCATTGCTGGCAATAAGTCGGAATCGTTTCCAGTGAGTTCACTACGCAGGTGAATGGGCAGGGAACAAAAGACATGGGTACGGATGCACTACCTTTCCTGATGGCACCAAGGAGGAGGGAAAGTACAAACAGAACATGTTGGTGAGCGGCAAGCGCAAGAACCTGATTCCGCTGAGGGCCAGTAAAATCCGAGAGAAGGTGGACCGAGCTGTTGAAGCTGCAGAAAAGGCTGCGGAAATTGCCAAGCAGAAAGCTGAGATTGCCATGTCAAGGTAATAAAACATTTACTGTATTTACAGCCATGTCAAAAATCAAAAGATCACCCTCGTTTCTTCAGTTTCCCATTCATTTTAAATACCTGGTAAAACTCAAGGTATGTTTGGACCAATATATTAATGACAACAAAAACAGCTTCTAAGAGTTGAAATGAAGTGATATTTCCTGAAGGTTGTCTTGATGAGAACCTAAAATCACTTACTCAATTTCTTGAATAAATGCCAGAAATGGTGCTTTAGGCAGTCCATGTTTTGCTTTGTGTCAGATTGTTGCTTGTTACACTTTTAGTGGCACCAGACATTAATATGAACAAGCTGACCTCGACTCGGGATGTTGTGAGTCGGTGGGCAGGGTATTTCGAAGACCTCCTCAACTCCACCACCACGCCTTCCTTGGAGGAAGCAGAGTCTGAGGACTCTGAGGAGGGCTCTCCTATCTCTGTGGTTGAAGTCACCGATGTGGTCAAAAAGCTCCTCGGTGGCAAGGCTCCAGGGGTGGATGAGATTTCCTCAAGGCCCTGGATGTTGTGGGGCTGTCCTGGTTGACACGCCTCTGCAACATCGCGTGGTCATCCGGGAGAGTGCCTCTGGATTGGCAGACCGCGATGGTGGTCCGTCTTTTTAAAAAGGTGGACCGGAGGGTGTGCTCCAACTACAGAGGGATCACACTCCTCAGCCTCCCTGGTAAGGTCTATTCAGGGGTGCTGGAGAGGAGGGTCCGTCGGGAAGTCGAGCCTCAGATTGAGGAGGAGCAGTGTGGTTTTCGTCCCGGCCGTGGAACAGTGGACCAGCTCTACACCATTAGCAGTGTCCTCGAGGGTACATGGGAACTCGCCCAACCAGTCTACATGTGTTGTGTGGACTTGGAGAAGGCGTTTGACCGTGTCCCTCGGGGAGTTCTGTGGGGGGTGGGCAGCCGAAGCGTTGAAGGGGTCCGTTTTGGTGGCCTCAGTATTACATCTCTGCTTTTTGCAGATGATGTGGTGCTGTTGGCTCCTTCAAGCAGGGCTCTCCAACTCTCACTGGAGCATTTCGCAGCCGAGTGTGAAGCAGTTGGGATGAAAATCAGCACCTCCAAATCTAAAACAATGGTCCTCAGTCGGAAAAGGGTGGAGTACCCTCTCCAGGTCGGGGAGAAGATCTTGCCCCAAGTGGAGGAGTTTAAGTATCTTGGGGTCTTGTTCATGAATGAGGGCAGGAGGGAGCGAGAGATCGACAGGCGGATCGGTGCAGTGTCTGCTGTCATGGTAAAGAAGGAGCTGAGCTAAAGGGCGAAGCTCTCAATTTACCGGTCGATCTACGTTCCAACCCTCAACTATGCTCACGAGCTATGGGTCGTGACCGAAAGAACGAGATCCCGGATACAAGCGGCCGAAATGAGTTCCCTCCGCAGGGTGTCCGGGCTCTCCCTTAGAGATAAGGTGAGAAGCTCGGTCATCCGGGAGGGGCTCAGAGTCGAGCCACTTCTCCTCCACATCGAGAGGAGCCAGATGAGGTGGCTCGGGCATCTGATTAGGATGCCTCCTGAACGCCTCCCCGGTGAGGTGTTACGGGCACGTACCACCGGCAGGACGCCCCCGGGGACGACCCAGAACACGCTGGAGAGACTATGTCACCCAGCTGGCCTGGGAACGTCTCGGGATCCCCGAGAAGAGCTAGAAGAAGTGGCTAGGGAGAGGGAAGTCTGGGATTTCCTCCTAAAGCTGTTGCCCCCGCGACTCGACCCCAGATAAGCGGTGGAAAATGGATGGATGGATGGATGGAAGAAATTGATGAAAACATTTCGGCTCTTAATTTTTTCCATAGCGATATGTCCATGGATGTAGGGCTGGGCATGTACTAAAATATAGTACATATCCAACCCTTCCGTATTGTAACCCCACGGAGTTATTGTCCTGCCAAAAATAGTGAATAAGCTCATTGATTAAAAAAATAGATTCCACAAATACAATCTGATGTAATCTATCAGAGGAAGTATTGTCACAGTGCCAATGGTGATAGATCACTGAAGAAAGACTGTCACTGTAAATGGATAATCAGTTTATGAAATACTACTTCATCTGCTTCACGGTCCATTTTCAGTTGGTAAAAGACAGAACGTCTTTCTATTTTCTCTCAGAACTGTATGAGTGAAACGTTTCTTACTGTTGTTACCAGAATGAGCCACGCTCGTGGAAAGGCAGAGGCGGCTGAGAAAGTTGCACAGAAGGCCATGGAAGAATGTCGACTGTCACGTATAGCTGCCAAAGAGCTCTCACCCTCCTTTCACATCTACGGCAATGGTGAGTTGTCAATCAAGTATGGAATCACCTTGAATATTGTTCTATGTCCATGAAATCTGTCAAAGTGTCTTACATTTAAACATGGGCATATCGTTGTAGCTGCATTTTAAGAAGCACTGTGGGGCTCCACTAATTCAAATCATGTTATAGTACCATTTTGTTTGACTTCTGCAGCATTTTCCATGTAAACAATTTCTCCCTAAATAAGGTAATACACACTTCTACAGCACCACAGGTTACAAGCACAATAATAAACATGGTGTTAAAGGGCAGCTCTTGCACTAAGGTCATGCTGATGTACCTAATAATGTGATAAGTTAGGATACAGTATCGACAAGTTTGTTAGAAAGAGAGAAAGCCATCGAGATACTTTTGTAACTTTTCTGCTGTGGAATACAATACTCAACTTAGCTCAACTCAAGAGCACTTTAAAACAGCCATCGCTATATACAAAGTGCTGTACATGGAGCAACTATCATATATACAACAATAAAGCAATAAATCAGAAACAAAGACGGTAGAAAGAACCAAACAGTAAAACTAAGTAAGATCAAGTCTGAGTCATGCTAAGTAAAATTCCAAAGAATACAAGTGAGTTTTGAGGTGCGTTTTAAAGACGGGCAGCGAGAGGGCTTGCCGAATGTTCAGTGGTAGGTCATTCCAAAGAGAAGGACAGCAACGGAAAAGGCTCGATCCCCTCTGGGCCTCCGCTTAGTTCTTGGTACTTCTAATAATGTCTGGTCCGCAGAAGCTGAGCGGTGTCTAGGGGCGGATGAGCTCAGAGAGGTAAGGTGGCGCGAGGTCATTTAAAGATTTGAAAACAAATAATAGGATCTTAAAAAGAACTCTAAACTGTATAGGGAGCCAGTGAAGGGATGACAGAGGAGGAATTATGTGCTCCCTCTTACGAGTACCAGTCAAGAGGCGAGCAGCAGCATTCTGGACCAGCTGGAGACGCTTAATGGAGGATTGGCTGACTCCAAAGTAAAGTGCATTTCAATAATCGAGCCGGGATGTGACGAAGGTATGAATTACTGTCTCAAGGTGCTCATGAGAAAGGAGAGGTTTTACTTTAGCCAGCTGCCTAAGATGAAAGAAGCTGGATTTAACAACGGCACCAGTTTGCCAGTCAAGTTTAAAATCACTGTCCAGTTTAAGACCCAAGTTTGAGACTGTTGACTTAAGATAAGGAGAATACTTTTGAAGACTGAAGTTAACTGCGACTGCTCGTCCAGAATTCAGTTTGTTTGCTGCTTTTCTTTTGTCACACAGCATGCTATTAACACGGCTCCATATTCTTGCACACACTTGCCGTCTAATGTGTTCACTGTGGGTTTGTGCCAGTTCACTTCATTAGTGTTATTATCTATCCAACTGTTTTCCTAGGGCTCGAATGTCAGAAGCCCCAGCACCAGAATGTCAAGGACAAAGACCATGAAGTCATCTCCACCGGAACAGACAGTCCAGAGCTGTGTACTCCGGATACGACACCGCCGGTAATAACACCTGATCTCAGCCCTGTGCTGAGTGTCCCCATCTGCCCAACCGGCAGTCCACCCAATCATGTACATCGTCCCAGAAATGCTTGCTTCATGAGACAGAGCGCCGTGGACGATCAGGGCGGGTCAGAGATCCAGGTGCTGGTGGAGTCACGGGGTATGGATCTGCCGAAAGTGGGTGCTCACAACTGGGCGGATGACACGTACCCGGATCGAGGATGTAGCAGCCGCTCGACCACACCCTCTTTACTAGAAGAACAGGAGGGCCAGATTAATGGTCACGATCCAGTACCATTGACCAACCACAAGCTCCGTGAGAAACCAAGTTCCAATTTCAAGGTCCGGGAGCACACTTCTTCCCACAGAGATTGGGAGCATTCCGTGTCCAACCAAAAGTCCTCTAAGCATGCCATTTCCACTCACAAGTCAAGGGAACACGCGTCATCCAATCATAAAACCTGGGATCATTCGTCTACCAATCACAAGGCCTGTGAGCATGCCTCTTCCAACTACAGGCAGGTTCACATTTTGTCCAATCACAAAGCCTTGGAACATAACATGTCCAATCACAAGACTTCTGAGCATGCTTCCTCCAATCACACCTCCCAGGATTATGTTGCCTCCAATCACAACCCCAGTGACCACGTTGCCTCCAGTTACAACTTTCGAGAGCATGTCTTCTCCAACCACCGCCGAAAGCAGCACAATCCCCCCAACCATAAGCTTAATGAGCATGCTGTAACTGACCAAAGGCAAGATGGCCTGACCGAGGGTTGGACTGCTGAAAGCACCCTTCGGTGGAGCCCCGTCCATTCACGCCTCACGGAGCAGGATGAGGAAAGGATAAATGAATACACAGTAGACATGAGGCTTCAGTGTCCGGAATCGCAGCTATCTCGGGGCCTGTCTCCGGAATCGCCAGCCCCCAAAAACAACAGGCTGCGATCCCGAGGCCTGAGACCAGTTCGAGAGGGATCTGTGGACTCTGTCCAGATGCTGGACAATTTGAGTGCGGGGGCGGAGCTCGAGGACTGGCCGCTGCAAAGGGACCTCACCCTCTCCCCACCGTTTCAGTCTCAGCCCATCACTCTGGAGCAGGAAGGAGAGCTTCTCAGCCTCAAATCAAACTCAGTAAGTCCAGCTCTATCTTGGTTTTGCAACCATTTCTTCACAGCACAGGAAAGACAAAACTATGCCTTTTTAATGAAGACATTATTAAAAGCTAAAGAAGCAAAGAAAATTACTTTGTACAAGCATTCCTCAAAGAGAACCGGACTAATTATTTTTCTTTTCATCCTCCCATTTTCTAGGGCTCCAGCTCCATTCTGGTGGTTTTGGTCATCTTACTCAATATTGGAGTAGCCATTCTTTTCATCCATTTCTTTATTTAAGCTAAAACAGGTATGATCTACGAAGACTTATCGATGACTGCAGTATATTATATTATTACTTATTGAGATGGGCATTCTGCTTATTCCACTGTAGCCCACAGCCTGAATGACGGACACAGAATCTTAGTGAAGAGGCCCATTTCAGTTTCTGCATGAACGCCATTCCTTTTAATCTCTTATTTTGAGCTTGCAACCATTAAAATATGATTGAATAAGATTCACAATAAAGTGAAGATCACAGCTTTACATGATTGTGGCATTTAAGGACACATATGCATGGGTGTCCATTGCATACGGTTTAAAGGACGGTCACGGGTAGATTTGGCCCATTTTCCATCCATCCATCCATCCATCAATTTTCTGATCCGCTCAAGGGTTGCGGGGCATGCTGGAGCCTATCCCAGCTGTCTTCGGAGAGGAGGCGGGGTACACCCTGAACTGGTTGCCAGCCAATCGCAGGGCACACATAGATTAACAACCATCCGCGCTCACACTCACACCTCGGGACAAATTAGAGTGTTCCATTCACCTGCCGTGCATGTTTTTGGAATATGGGAGGAAACCGGAGTACCCAGAGAAAACCCACGCAGGCACGGGGCCAACATGTCTACACAGGAAGGCCGGAGCCGGAATCGAACCCTGCACCTCTGCACCGTGAGGTCGACGCGCTAACCAGTTGACCACCGGGCCACCCCTATTTCCCACCACTTAAAAAAATAAAACAGGTTATCATTTTTACATGATAACCAAGAACATGAAAGTCACACTACATTTTTGCACTGCACATAAAAATAAACATTTTGTCTTTCAACCTTTTCCCCTCTCAGTCCCATCTATCAATTTCATTCCCCTGTTCGCACTATGCGCTACATACAGAACTATGCTGCCTTCAAACAAAAATGACCATCAAAAACCCATATATATATATATATAAAAAATTTATTCCAAACCCACTTGAAACTTTTGCATGAGGCCGCGTGGGGTGTTGAAATGCATTGTCAATCCCTTTAACATCAATATTCTGTCTTCATTTGTTTGGACTCCATCCTATCACTACTTGTTTACTTGTTTCACTTGTTTGAGGTCGCCACACTCCACACAACCAAATGTTTGGGTCTGGAAAAAAAAAAGCATTCTTGTATGATTTGTGAACTTTTGTATATCACCAACACCAAATTTATACTCAAGGAACTTTGTTGGCAAAGAGAAATTTTGATGTCAGCACTCCTTGTACATTGACACACATTCGCACGGCAACCCAAGATATGACACATTTAACTGCTGACATAGTGAGAAGAATTCATCCTTGTCCCTTTGTACAGCTTCCAGACTGTTATGTTACGACCGCTAATTATACTATGATATGTGTATGTGTCATTATTACTCCTATTTGACACATTTTGCGAGCCAGAGAGAATGCAGAGTGCCTCATATTAATTCCGTTTCCCTCTCAAATTAATTTTAATGTAAATTGCGAGAAACTGCATCATGATGCCAGGCTATGAGGATACTAATAACCTTCAACACAACTCACACAATCCCCACTTAAACCAGGAATGGCATGCACTGTTTTGACTTGACTCTGTCCCTTAGTCACCCTTTGAACCATTCAAAATGGGAAGGTGGGGTTTCTGCAGTGTCACTTCCTGACACGTTTTGGGCCGGATGAGATTTTTCCGCATGTTTGTTCAGCCTGCTCAATCTGGTGTCACTTTGTAAAGTCTCTCCTTCTCGTCTCTTTGATTTAGTAACACAAGGCTACATGAGACATGGAGAGCAGTGTAAAATAAACGCTAGCTTTTAACTCTCAGTGGAGACTGAAATGTCATGAGTTTATGAATGGTATGAATACAAACTCTCTACTATTCTGTTTTATACTTCGCACCCAGTGGCATCATCATGTTGTGACATCATTGCATGCCCGAGCATGCTCTTTCTTACGCTTTGGTTTAAGAAGTTGTTAATGTGGAAAAAAACAATAAAATGTTTGAAATATGTATGCCTCGTGATTATTGATTATGGTGTCCATTTTTTTAAACAGTTTGGTATGATAAAAGATTTACAAAAAAAAAAAAACATACATGTGAGCCTGTGAAGGGAGATATTATCTACTTTGCTTTCATTCCAAATGTTTTCACCCTTGTAGAGAGAATAGCAATGGCCATTTGAAACTTGTTTTGCTTTGGCGGAAACACAGTTGATGTTCATATCATATTGTACAGATTTTATAAAACCACATAGGCAGACACATCTACACAGTGCTGTATTATGATTTATGAAAATCTCACTGGATTCCACACATCAAGCACAGTGTTACATAACTGCGTTCACGTATGACTTCATATAAAAGTGACAGTACACTATGTGAATTAGTGTCACAGATACTAACACAGAGCTTTCTTGCCATGTGACAACTGTACTAACTACTCATACACTGTGTTGCCTGGAAATGACATTTACGTAAAACTACGGAAGCGAGATTCAATTACATAGAAAGATGATGCTAATGTGTGTAATATAGATCATTGATTCCCGACCAGTGAGCCGGGGCACATTAATGTGCCATGAGAGCCCTCACGGTGTGCCGCGGGATCTTATAAAATTTCACTTAATTGATGAGAAATATATTTCTTAATAACAAATAATGTATCTTTGTCCATCTACCTATACCAGGAATCTACAGTAACAGAAAGAACAAATAAATGATCTTCTATTCGATGGGATGGCAAAAAGTATGAAATTGACATGTATCCGATTTTTGTGACAATTTTGTTTGGTGGTGTGCCGTGCAATTTTCAAATTTAAAATATTTCCCTTGGCTCAGAAAAGGTTGGGAATAACTGCATATGCATTTGGGATGACTCGGCCCGATCACGTGATCGGAAGTTTGGGCTGATCACGTGGTTTTGAGCTGTTCCGGTATCGAGTGAAAAAGATCACTTTTATTATTTTCTGAACATTTAACGGTCACAAAGCTACAAAAAATCAAAAAGTGCAAATGTCTTGTCAAATAGAACAGTTGTAGCTTAAACGTAGATTTAATAATGTTACCTTTCTTCTTATTATTCTTATTCTTATTATTTATTTGTTTTTAGAAGCGATGCGGTTCGTGTGACGCACACACCCATACACGTCTCCTCAGCTACACACAGCACTGCTGCAGGCAGGGTCAGAGTATTGGGTTTGTCTTCCCAGCTTGTTTGGGGGGGAGAAGCAAGCCGAAAGATGCTCCAGTCTGCCTTGGCTGATATAAAGAAGCATCCTCGCTAAATGGCATCGACAAAGAGTTGAGAGCTCAGAGTGCGACAGACAGGTTAGCGATTGTGACACGTCCAAACGACATAACTTCTAATTGAAGTTGCAAGAGGTTAAATTATTCTGTGACAAGGAAGCTTGTTCCCAGCTGGTTGCATTTAACGAGGTCATAAATCAATAGTGTCGTTTCGAGATGAGAGAAGTCACACACGTAGCCAGCAACGACGTGGCTGCCTGTACTTGTCATTTTAGCCCGCACAAGCCAATAAATAACGATTTAAATGTTTCGTTTACCGTTAGATGAATCTAATGTGCCAAACAGAAGAATTTCTCATTCAATGATAATGCTTATATGGGCCATTCAACCAAATTTGTGCCATTTGCGTCTCCAGGCAATTTCATGAAAATACATCTTTATAAAGCGTGTGGACATTGATCTGTTGTGTGTTTAAAGTTAATATTCCATTTGCATAAATGTCATGGCTATAGTGCCTGTGTTTGTTAATTTTATGCTACCCCCCTCCCCGCCCCGAAAAAAAAAGAGAGATCCCATTCATTGTAGGAGAGAGTAACTTTGGAATAGCTGTCCACTGTGTTGAGCCCTTGATTCGCACCTCCTTAACAGCCCTGTACCAAAAAAGGTGAAGAAATAATGATTGAACATCAAATCATGTGTGCCACAATTATGTGACGTTCTGAGCAGGTTAAATGTTAAATTAACTACAGTGTATTGCAGTGGTAGGCAACCTTTGATCCTTGACAAGTACACAAACTTTCTACTGTTTTGTCTACATGAGTTTGTTATCCAGTTCAACCTCCAGGGATGACGATGCAACGTAAGACAGAGACGTAAATAGACAGGGGTAAAATTAAGGGCGGTTGCAACCCACGGAGCATCATTTCTAACTGCAACAGATTTGGAGAAGCAAGATACTCTCACACCAACCATTGCCTTGTTTAAAAGAATTGTTTGACATTGTTGACTACAAGAATGATTCATCGTGAAGTGATGTGAGCCAAATAACTGCGTGGCTTAAAACATACAGACTGTTTTTTCAATTTCTGTCATAAGGTAGTTTAGCTTTTTTTTTTGTTTTTGTTTTGTTTTTTGTTTAAAGTCAGTTCCCATCGTTTTGGTAGCATAAAAGTTTATCCAATGCTAGAATAGCTGTAGGTTAAAAAAAAAAATGACGCAACACAATTTCCTACCAGAAATGTTCACTTTAAATTTGCATAATCATGCAAGTTAAACTGACCATGGAATTAAAAATAATGGTCAATAACAATGAGCATTCAAGCTAAGTCTTGTATGACTTAATTCTTAAATGAAAAGCCTTTGTTTCAAACTCAGACCTCCAAACACTGCAGGACAAGAGCTAAGCCAGGAAAGTATGGCGAGAACATGAAAATGCCACACAGGATGCCCAGAGCCTGGATTCAAAACACCCTATCTGAGAACTGTGAGGGAAATGTGCTAACCATGAAACCACCTTCCTATAAGATTTTCTGTTATTTATATTTGAAAAGAAAATATGTATCTTTCAAATTGAAAAATAAATCCTCCTGGAAAAGATAACAAGCTACAATAAAAAACATAAGCTATTCGTTTTAAGTGCAGTGTTTTAAGGCTTTTCGTGGGGACGGGACAGCCAACATTAGTCAGGAATTACCCTTACATAAGTCACATTTTGAAGTGTTTTCCCCTCTCCCATCCATATGTGCGGTGAGTGCGGTTTATGGCAACGTATGGGACTGGTTCATTACTGCGTGTGCTGAACCCCGGTTATTGTCGTTTCAGTTGATTGGTTGAAACACTGCCCCCTAGTGTTACGGTGTAAAACCTACATTTGTGATCTGTTTCCAGTTCCTCGTCGTCTTTGTTGGCTTGTTCTTGTGACAAAACCTTGTGAGTCGTTATCTCCCCCCCGTGATTGCTTTCGTCCATAGAGGTGGCGCAGCTGCGGTGGAGCGAGTGCGGTGGGAGCTGAGCTCACTGCATGTTTTCTGCTGTTCGTCCGTCTGCAGGAGGATGGCGTCGAGTTTCTACCGCATCACCTCTGCCGCCGGTCCCCCGACCCCCACTTACGCCGAATGTTGTCGGCTCTGGTCCGAAGACAGCAGTGAGAAACATCACTAAGCGACCCGGGTACGTTTTGGTGAACGGGTGTTTGCAGAATGAGATCTTTGCAGATGTGAGAACAAGGCTGCAAGAGGCGAGTTTCTTCCTGCGGCTCGGCGGAGGCCTACTTAAGATTCGGGGTCAGTTCTCCGTGGAGGCTCCCATCTAACGTTGGACCATTCAATCTTATGGTGGCCTTTCATGAAACGCGTTATTGGGGAAAGCGGCTATAGCTTTTCAGTGTCGCGTCTGTCGCTCTTTTGCCTTTTAGCCAAGGACAATGAATCGTTACGAAACCGTATTTAGTGGGCAAAGAAACGAACGCGGTAGTTATTTGAAGATAGCAATAGCAACATAATAGCAAAGAATGTCGACTTGCGTATAGTAATGTTTAGGATGCATTCGAGCGGGTTAGCTGTTAGCTGCCACAGCGACTAGCTACGGCTGTGGCTTCAAAATGGTGAAGATTTCGATTCCTAATAGTTAGCAGTTGTGCATGGGCTACAACAGCTGCTAGTTAATTTAGCGGTGTGAAACGAAGCGCACATAGTTACATGTTCGGCCAACTCATCAGTATATTTTGGTGCATGGTATAGTTCAGGAAATAGATGGAGCCCGGCTTGGTATGAAATTGTATTATTTGATAGCAACATTTTAGCGACATTCTTGCGAATGTATACATTCAAGAATCCTTATAATATCGCTGTGTTGTGCTTGCCCAAAGACTATATCGTCAACAATCAAGTTAATTTTGTGTTAAGCAAACCTAACGGACGGAAAGTCCCTAACATTTCCTGACGTTGTTTAGGTGCTCTACTTTTCCCAGACCAAAATTGTGTTGTTAATCATGCATTCTCACATTTGGCCAGTTAATCAACCCGCATCACACATACTAAGATCATGCATTCACAGCCTATGAGTCTACCTATGTGCAACGTGATTTTGGCCAGTTAATCAACCCGCATCACACATACTAATTCTGTGATTGTTTTGTGTCCCTCCAGGTGTTCATGTTTATCTCTAAGAACGTGTGTAACCCACAGAGAGCTCACCATCCTGATTACTGCGTCATTAACTGCATCAGTCGACTCAGTGTCATTTCAAAACTCACCTCCTGAGCACTGAATATTAAAGAGGCAGAATGACAGAGGCGTGGCAGCAGCAGCAGCAGCACACGGTGGCTCCACCTTCTGTAGTACACACACTTCCCCAGACAACAGACACTCTGGCCTGCACCGTGTATGGCGTTGTCCTCCAACCAGATTCGTCTCTGCAGCAGCAGCAGCTGGGCCAGCAGCATGTTGTGCAAGCTCAACAGCCCTCCATGCAGCTAGCGGCTGAAAGAGTGCATAAGTGTGGCGCCTGTGGACACGACATATCTCACCTGGCCAATCCCCACGAGCACCAGTGCATGGTGACCCAAGACAGGTCTTTCCAGTGTACACAGTGCATGAAGATCTTCAGCCAAGCCACAGACCTGTTGGAGCATCAGTGTGTGCAGGTGGAACAGAAGCCTTTTGTTTGTGGCGTGTGTAAAATGGGTTTCTCGTTGCTCACTTCCTTGGCCCAGCATCACAACTCCCACGGCAATGGAAACAACCCAATGAAGTGTTCCATTTGTGAGAAAACGTACCGTCCCGGATCTGGAAACGTCACTCCCACCTCATCGGCGGCCAATCCTCAGCAGCCCTCCACCGGAGAGACTTCTGGTGGTGGTGCGGCAATCAGTGCCTCATCCCCACCTACTTTTGAGGCCTCTGCGCCAGATAGGCCGTACAAGTGCTCTGTGTGCCATAAGTCCTTCCGGCATTTGTCCGAGCTGACTCGCCACGAAAGGGTACACACAGGTGAGAAGCCGTACAAATGTGACACGTGCGATAAAAGCTTCAGCCAGTCTTCACATTTGGCTCACCACCAGCGCACACACAGCTCTGAGCGGCCATATAAGTGCGCTGTGTGCGAGAAGAGCTTCAAGCACCGTTCTCACCTGGTGCGCCACATGTACGCCCATTCAGGCGAGCACCTTTTCAAGTGCAACTTGTGCGAAATGCACTTTAAGGAGTCATCGGAGCTCCTGCACCATCAATGCCAGCCAGAAGGAGAAAGGCCTTTCCGATGCGGCTCATGCGGAAAGAGCTTCAAGCGTCCGTCGGACCTGCGGCAGCACGAACGCACTCATTCCGAGGAGCGACCGTTCCAGTGCGAGGAGTGCCAGATGAGCTTCAAGCAGCAGTACGCTCTCGTACGCCACCGTCGCACTCATAAGAATCCGGCCGAGCGCCCTTTTAAGTGTAATCTCTGTGACAAGGGCTTTCTTCAGCCATCCCACTTGCTCTACCATCAGCAGGTGCACGGCATGGAAAGCTTGTTTAAGTGTGCATCTTGCCAGAAGTCTTTTAGCCAATCCGGAGAACTGCTGAGGCACAAATGTGGAGGTGAAGTAGAGAAGCCCTACAAGTGTGACGTGTGCGGCAAAGGTTACAAAAAGAACTCCACTCTGCAGCGCCACCAAAACACTCACTGCACAGAGAAGCCGCTGAAATGCTCTCTGTGTGACAAGCGCTTTGTGTCCTCCTCAGAGTTTGTCCAGCACCGCTGTGACCCGACCCGCGAGAAACCCCTGAAATGTCCCGACTGTGAGAAACGCTTCAGGTACTCCTCTGAGCTGCAGCGCCACCGCCGCGTCCACACCGGGGAGAAACCTTTCAAGTGCGCCAGCTGCGACAAGAGCTTCAAGCAACGCGAGCACTTGGCCAAGCATCAGAGCGTGCACTCACGGGAGACGCAGTTTAAATGCGTGTGGTGCGGCGAGCGTTTTGTTGACCTCGCAGCTCTGCAGGAACACACGGTCCAGCACACCGCCGAAGGTGAAAGTTTCCCGGAAGCGCCCTGTATCCCATGACCGCCGCGATTCTCCCGCCTTGGACAGCAAACGGAGCGACTGGTCACAGCCTCCACATTCGCCTTGGTTGCTTTGAACGCGCGCCCATTAAAGACGATTCCTCATTTGTAGTACAGCATCCCTTGTGTTCAGACTCAATTATCCTTCCTTGAGTAAAAGGCGAAACTCAGAATCAGGAATTCATCAGTTAGAGTGAAGGTAAGGAGCAAAAAAAAAAAAAAAAGGGTTGGTATAAAAGGTGGAGAGAGCTCGCTTTGATCGGTAGTGTGTGTATGTGTGTGTGTGTGTGTGAGAGAGAGAGAGACAGACATTTTCTTTTTGGTGTTGCATGTGATGTGATTGCATCTGTTTTTTAATTGTTTACTCTGTTGCGGCTCGCAAGACAGCTGTCATATGTGTTGTATGATGTATTCTGTATTCTGCTCCTGATATGTCATTGTGCCTTTTTTATTTACATATCTTGTTTTATTGAGTTTGATGTCCAGTAAAAGCCGACTCCCTCCCATCCACGCACAGCGTCTGCCCTGTGCAGCGGTGTATGTTGTTCACATACTAGACCTTAGATAGTGTCGTCTGTGCATGAATATTTATCACACTTAATATCACAATTGTATTATAGCTTTGTTTTATTTAGCAAAACACAAGTGGGGTGGGGGGGGGGAAGAAGTGGATTTGTGTAAAATGTATAGCCTATGTCCTATAAAACGTGTCGTTGCATCTTTGTATGAAAACAAATGACATTTGGAAACTAACGCATACCTATCATGTCATGAGAACACTTGAGATGTGCAATAGAAATGCACAGTGTAATATTTATAACTACTGATTCTTTGCATAGTCTACCCTGTTATTATAGATTGTGGTTATGCGCTCATGTAAACATTGAAAATGTGTAGTGATTTTGTTACTTTTTATTTTTACTATTGAGGAGCTTGCTGATATTTTGCAAGGACTTAAGTTTCCGTTTGGATTACGACATTTACTCTGATAAAAGTATCATATTGTTCACTTGTAAGAAATTAGCACATTACTGTGTGGTAGATGAAAATTAAGTCATGGGGCTTATGAAATCCTCCCAGGATTCCTCATCTATACTTGAGTACTTGACTCCACACAGCCTCAAGCTGCAACATATGTGTGTTCTGAGGATAAAAGTGGGAAAGTGTAAGAGTTAGTTTACAGTGTGACATTTCTCTTCCAAGTCAAACTTTTTGCAGTATATTTACAGAATGATTTGATGAATTGCGCTGTCATGGATAAAGGGACTGACTGGCAGAGGGTGATCACACTTGAATTTGGCTTGAACTCCAAAAAAATATCGTTTAGACTCCTGTTCATACTGTACACAGACAAGAAAAATAAACCACATTGAGGAATATCGAAGTGTGTATGCATTTCTTGAATGTTGATAGTCATTTTTTTTATCATTAGAAACCTGTGTATACTGTTGTCGCATGTACTTTTACAATCAGTAGTTTCTAAACGCAGAGGTAGATTAAGTTTACAGTGTATCATTTTAACTTACTGCTTATACGCATGTACGGATTTCAGTATGTAAAATATCTTGTCACACACCTTGCAGGCAAATAATTTCATATTAAAGGGTGGTTCAAGGGTGTTGTATACCCCTGAGCACCTTGATGATTTTATGCCTTGCATGTCCATCCATCCATCTATTTTCCGATCCGCTTTATCCTCACAAGGGTCGCGGGGGCTGCTGGAGCCTATTCCAGCCGTCTTCGGGCAGCAGGCAGGGGACACCCTGAACCAGTTGCCAGCCAATCGCAGGGCACAGAGACCAACAACCATGTTCAATCAGCCTGCCATGCATGTTTTTGGAATGTGGGAGGAAACCGGAGGACCCGGAGAAAACCCACGCAGGCCCAGGGAGAATATGCAAACTCAACACAGGAAGGACAGAGCTGGGATCGAACCCACAACCCCAGCACTGTGAGGTCGATGCGCTAGCCACTGGCTCACTGGGCCGCCCCTGCCTTGCATGTATAGACCGGAAAATCCCCTTTGAACCAGGAGAAGGTCCTAAATGCTGATTTGATGGCCTTGAATAATGGGGATTGGACGAACAATATTGCTTTAAAAAACAACAGTATTTCTTGAAATATATATTTTGTCATTTCATACAATGGAACACTTGAAAGGCTGAGTAATGTGCCATGACTTTTCAGTGGCGGACCCTTAGGGCCAGCAAGGCCTTCTCTGCTGGCCTAAACATTCTCAGAAAAGTACATTTAATCCATTTATTTTCTGAGAATAACAAATTTAATTTGTTATTTTATTTTCATTAATATGTAGACAAAATTATTCTCTGTATTCTTTACGTCATATTATTTCCACTTGGTCGAGTAACATTGAAAGCCACTCGATAAATAACTTATTTATTATGGTAGAGTTTTTAACCAATCATATTTCAGCTAGCTTGTGTTGCCAGGTAAATTAAATTTGCTCAGGGCCTTCAGATTAAACAGAGCAGGCCCTGTGCGCTGTAAATGAACGGGTACAGTCAGCTTGCAATAGCCAATCAGATCACGAGTCTCAGACTTGTGATCGGACTCGTCTGCTACCAGGGCCAGCTAGAATGCCCTACGTCGAGGCTGGATGTGCGTGTTCGCTGATTGGACAAGCACCTGCTAGAGCTATCACTGAATTTTAACCCAAAATGGCTGAAGGAGAAGACATCGATCCGGTTGCGGAACTACTTTCCACTCAATTTTCAAGACGGACCTTCCACCAAAAGCTGGATATTGTGCGAAGAGGTCGCCCAA